TTTTTTTTTTTTTTTTAAGTAATACCTTACTGATATTGAGCTGTGAGACGCATGCTTTGTGTGTTTGTTTGTTTTTTGTAGTGTAGAGTGCAGAAAAAGTGCGTTGAACAGATTTTCAGCTGCGCTTTGAAGAATTGTACGGATGTGACTGTGAGCGCAAAAAAGCATTAAAAGGACGCGCGACTCCAAAGTGTGTAATGAACATCGCGAAGATCCGTCAACTGTGTTTATATTTGGGTTTATAAGTTAGAGGTGTGTTTATTGTTGTTTTCTTTCGGGGTATTCTCGCGCTCTTTTTGAAAGTTGTTGACTATAGTACAGGGCCTGTGTGTGTTGCGGAGCAGCACCCATTTGGGAATGCCCAAACACCGACTAAACAAATGCGCCTTTCTTGTCGACGGAAACAGTCTAAAGCCACAAAAAACGAGTCGTTACTGCAAACGGATGAGTGTTTCTGGGCGTTACAAACGGATGGTAATTCATTTGAGCTGTCAAATGATGGGAAATACGTTGTTTTTTAAAGTTTTAAGATAAGATATCAGTGATCATATGAGCAGAGAGGTGTTTCTGTTTGACAGCAGATGTGTGAGAGTCCAAAATGTCTCTGTGCGAGACTTGTTGGGCGAGTTTAGGCTTGCATGCAAGGGCTCTCCTCTCCTCTCTTTTTTCCCTTTCTTTTTGAGACAGTGTTTATATGAGAACAGCTGTGTGTGTGTGAGAGAGAGAGAATTGGTGCTTCCTCGTGTACAAGCCTGTGTTACATAAGTCCGTGTGTGGAAAATAAATAATGGTGTGCATCCTTCCTCAATCCCCCTGTTATCAGTTATCAGTTTTCATAAGGCCACGATGTTGATGCTGGCTGGAATCGTTGTCCTGCACATTACCACCATCATTCTGCTTCTGGTGGCCACCATTGATAATGTAAGTGGAGTTTTGTTTTCCTTGGTTTTCTCGCTTAACACACATGCCTTCAGAGGAAGAACAAAAAGGTTTTATATGAGTTGATGAATGCCAATTAAAGGCCAATACACGTGTTTTCAGAGCAAATACAAGCATCTAAAGCAATATGTATTTCTCTGTGGAAGCTCAAGCCAGCACTTATGTCATAAAACCACCTGGAAATACCCAGGAGTCAAATATCAGGGAGATGTTTTGCCACCCGCAGTGTTGCAAATCTACATACCTCCTCAGACTTTCACTTTCAGAATATTGAACAACTGACAGTGAATAACAGGCCTGTCAACACTTGTTTGTGTATACATGGAGCATGACGAGTTTAAACATTTGTTGAAACAGTAAATCTGCAAAACCTTAACTAAACAGAGGTTTACAAGTGATGCAAGCACTGTATGTCTTGATATTTGTTTATGCTTCTCTCCCTCTGTCTCCAGGCCTGGTGGATCACTGATACAGTGTCAACTGACTTGTGGGGCAAGTGGGAGTTTGCAAACTCAGTCTGGCATTACACCAACCTGAAAAACTACCCAGAGGGTAAAACTATATGGATGTTTTAATGAATGAATGAATGTTACTTTTGTCACAAGGAAGTTTATAGGTTGACTTGATCTGAGATTGTTTAGATGTAGAAACAGGATGCTGATCAGAGGCTCCTAACTGCTCAGAAAAGGTCATTAATGGCCAGAAATCAGATCATTTTAAGTATAATTCTGTCCATAAGCTATCAGTAATATGCTAATAGTATTAATAAAGCAGTTATAATTCAGATTGCATTGTATTTGTGTTGTTGTTGACACTTGACTGACTGTGTGTCTGTTTTGTCTTCCTCCTACTGCAGACTATCTCCAGGCCATTCAGGCCACCTCAGTGCTTGCCTGTGTTTTTGCCATTCTGGCCCTGTTTGTGTTTGTGGCTCAGCTGTTCACCCTGCCCAAAGGCCAGAGGTTCACCTTCACTGGCATTTTACAGTTCATCGCCTGTAAGTAACCTGGAGTCAAAAGTCTTACCTGCAGCTGTAAGAATTATAGTTTATTTAAATACTTGCTACTTATCGCTGAGACTGACGGTCTGTGGAGGGTGTGTGCTAAATGCTTTACTGTAAAGTACAACAACGGTAGGAGACCTTTGTGTTTTTAGGCTATTTCTGTGTAATAATTTCATTATATAGGACTAACCATAAAATGCCTTAGCTGTCAACAGTACAGCATGTTAGAATTTATTAATTTTCGCTTAGAGGAGGCAAGGAAGAGCAAAGCAAACGCATAAGTTGAGACGTGTCCCTAACTACATCGAGAGCATCTCTTGACCTCTGTTTGCATCCTTTAGATGACATTTGACATGAGGTCTATGGAAGCAAAGCTCAGCCGCAGCATGTACAAGTGTTTCTGCATGATAGTGTTAAAACAAACATGGATGCAGATACAGAAGGTCAGTGATTTTCACTCTTGTGTGATCCTGGCTCAAGAGTCTGCAGGTTTAGCTAGTTCAGCCTGTTAAATCTGTGAAATCTGAAGCCTCAGTGACGCATGATTGAAAGTCACTGCACTAGAATATAACTGTCCGTGTTTCAGGATTGATCTCCTCTAAGTGCAGCCGCTCAGTCTCAAATGTCACACCGCGATGGGGTTTTCAGAACAACTCCTCTAAATGTATGTTTTGGTGGTATTTGTTGGTTGGAATAGGATGTCAGGGTCGGAATAAATATTGCTCAAATGTGAAACCAAAATAATATCTTTTGAGGTGAGAGGCTGTTTGTACAACAGGTGGCTGAGAAGTGATGTGTCCGAAGTCTGTTAAGATAATGTCTTTTGTGAACATGCTAATAAGGGCTGAAATTAACTATTTCATTATTGATTAATTTGCAGATTATCACATTTTCTTAGAGCCCACTGTGACATGTTTATCTCAAACTATCAATCCATTGATTATTATTGGTTTCCAACTTGGGCAGAATATTCAGATAATTATCAAAGGTGTAAAATCTGTCATTAAGTTACAATATTATACTGTAATACAGTACATACAGTAATCCTTTCACAATAAAATTAAATATTTATAAATATATTTGTCACTGCTGCTATCACATAAAAAAAACAGCCAGAAATCAAAAGTAGTGGGACTAAAATATGTATCGTCATGAGTTTATATGATTGGAAAATGAACAAGGTGATACTGCCATGTTTCTCATTTCACTGTGATTGCAGTGGACCCGTCTGCTACACTTATATACACTTATAATAGGAAAGATAATGACTTCTTAATTGCCTTGTCTGGGTGTGTGTGACAGTATTCCCCTTTTCTGTCCTGCAGGCCTGTGTATAATGATAGCAGCCTCAATCTACACGGCTGAGCTTCACGCCAGCGACACAGAGGGAGGCTACGGACACTCCTACGTCCTGGCCTGGATCTGTTTTGTCCTCACCTTCATCTTAGCGATCACCTACCTCGTCCTGCGGAAGAAGAGTGAGTGAGAAGAGAAGAGGAATGAGGGCAGGCCTGGGATCATATTCCCAGATTGAATTTGGGGAAGTAATGAATAGGATTTGTTTCAAAATTGGGAGGGAAAAGATTGTTAATCTACATCTGCAGCTAGGAAAATGGGGGGAATGATGTCCAATTGCTAAACAAGAGCCATTTGTTTATATTCTGAATATTATAAATTGAAATGGAACTCGTGCTTACATTACATGAAGGGCTGGACTTTACTTAATAGATTTCTATTTGATTAAAAAGAGAAGAGGGCAATAGTTTATTCATGAGTAAGGCAGTATGGGCCACAAAATAATAATTGAGATTAGGAGGGTGCAACCCTTATTTCATATTAGTATAATCATAAAATGATTAATGAATCAATGGTTTCCTTTGTCTTTTAAGTGCAGTTCTATATAGTAGGTTTGGAGAACTCCATATCAATTAGTACTGTAAAGGACACTCAACATTTTGAGAAATAAAGAGTGAGAAGATCAATACCACTGTTAGAAACAGAGTGGTATCAATCTTCTCATCTAACACTCACAAGAAAGAAAGAATTATTTCCCATAATGTAAAACTGTTCTAACTCTAAAGAGTAAACAAAAGCCCTTTGAGATGTATCTGTGAAGGTACGGCATGTTGGCGAAACTACAACATTCTTGTTGAAGTACTTGAACAATCAGGAAAGACAAGCCTAATTTACAGTACACATAGTTTTAATCATGTATCATTATTTTACAACTGAAGTATAGTGTATCCTTTTTTAATCTATGTACATTGTAATCATTATATTTTTGTAACATTTTGCATTGAGTGTATTTTTTTTTAACCATGTTTGATTTTGTGTCTGTAGTTGGCTGCTATCATAAGAAAAGTACATGCAATTTGTACAAGTGAACCAGGGAGGGAGGACAATGGTGGTTTCATTTCACCGTATTTCATAACTATGCAATAGAAGGTTTTGTTTGTAATTACATAGGAATTTAAGCCATATCATATCATGTATTAATAAAACAAATTATATCAAAGTTTCAAAACTGTTTGTTACAGTTCTGTAGCCTTCACTCAAATATGAACACACAAGATTGCATTAAAATTAATTTAAATTTAGTTTTAAGTTATCATCCTGACAAAATCTTCACATCAAGGTAATAAGAACAACACACAGTTCTAGAAAATGCTATTGGATTTTCACTGATTTCTAAATCTGCAGGACTTTGCTCAATAAGGGCAAAGTTTGGTACTGCGTGCAACTTACAACATTAACATTTTGAAAACAACACTTCTTCAGGTCTTACAACAGACCCAGTCAGAAACAGGAATGTTCCATTATATAAAGTATCGTTCCCAGAGGAAGTGAGTAAAAACTGGACTGTACTAGATGCCTTGTCCAGACGGCGTGATGCGCTCCTGAACCACCAGGTGGAGAAGATGATTCTGCTCCGCAGTCAGAAACGGCCTGAGGGTGGTAAAACAAAAACACCAACATATAATCAATACGGAGAATTCAGATGGAGAAGCAATACACATGCTGCTCAACCCGCATCACGAGATGGAAATTAACATTTTTGAATGCTCACCATAGCTCTGTCTGAAGAGACTTGAGGGACTCTGTGTCTTTCTCCTGACACGCCATCTGCAAAACAGATTTGCTGTTATACGCTGCACAAATAAAACCATAGCTGCAGATTCAGATGACCCTGACGAGTTCTCAGAGTCTTGTCACCGTTTTTAATCTCTTATAAAATCGAGCCTGTTGATCCAGAACAAGTTGTTTTACAGAATCTTCTTTGTTACGGGTAATTGAAGTCATGAATAAACATCAATAAAGAACTGTAAATACAGATCGAAACAAAAGTCTACAAACACTGACACCACTGCAAATGCTGCAAACAGAAAAAAAATAATTCCATTGGCAAAGGAAGACAAACTCCAGCACATTAATCACTGTCATGTGAAGGCCATGAAGACCATCATTTTTCCTGTATGAGGCAGGAAGGATCAGGAAATCCTGTGAACTGTTCAAGTATGTGGATGATGAAACTCACCACTACTGACTGCAGGAGCAGGAAGACATTCTCAGGCAGGAAGGTCACTGACGGAGAGGACAAGATCCATGTTTACACCACTTCAAACGAATGTCACTCACAGCATTTATGATACATTTTCTGCATTAAACAGAGAACGTACATAATTGACACGTTTTTTTGCTCTATTATCAGTTCAGGAGCATTCACCTTGGCTGTGAGGGTCAAAAGACTCCCATGCGTATCTCTCCAGGGTCTGGGCATGTTCTGGTAACAACTTCTGAGGCGGAGGCTGCGCAGGAAAATAGAAAGGTTGGACCATTAAATCAGTCACTAATCTACGGATGCAATAATAATAATAATAATAACAATAATAATAACAATAATAATAACTTTATTTAAATACAAATCTCTTAAAACAATGTTTACAAAGTGCTTTACATACACACACAAAAAAGTAGCAATAAAGAATAAGATTAAAAGCAATATATGAGGTAAACAGATAAAACTAAAAACACTACAATCAGACACTATTAAAAAGAGATTAAAAACATAATACATAGCGGTGTGCGCCAAAATAAACTAAATCATAAGGATGCACAGGAAATATTGTGTTCACATCAATGTCTGATTATAAAAGTGTGTTTATAGAAGGGATTTAAAAGATTAAACAGATTTAGCTGGCCAGTAGAGTACAGTAGAGTACAGTACATTAGAGTACATGCGTCCTAATGGAGAGAGCGCAGTCTCCTTTAGTCTTGAGCCCGGACTGTGGAACAACCTAAAGAGGAGCTCAGGCTGGGGACTCATAAAGAGTTAAAAGGTCGGCAGTATAAGTAGGGGCTGGACCTTTCTCTGCTCTAAAAGGAATCAGTATGATCTTAAAATCCATTCTTACTGGGAGCCAGTGCGGATGTGTTAAAACCGGGCTGATGATCTCTATGTTTAGTGCCTGTTAAAATTCTAGCTGCGTAAGATTGATTTTTGACTGAGGCAGGTGTAGAGTGGAATAAACAATCAACATTGTGATACAATATCAATAGTCGTGGCATCAGTAATGCAAAATTATATGTTGTGTTGCTGATGTGGAGGTGTTTCTTTCTTTTAAGGCTCAAAATTTAACTGAGCCTTACGCTTTCCGGTAGTTCACCCTTTGGCCTTTAATGGCTGTTTGACACTGACGTTTTGGCAGATGTTGTTGTTTCTATGTATCTGTAGTAAAAAATACTTGGTTAGAGTTTTTCATAAGAGAAGTGAAAAACAGAACTTGAGGATGTATTCTCGACTTCAGTCACACAGCTATTATGATTATTTTCTTGGAATATCTTGTCTTTATTTATAAAATCACAGTGCTTACCTCAAGCAGCATCAGTAATAGTACTCTGGAGATCTCACATTTTGCCACAATGTCCAGAAATGCACCTTTTTTCCAGGAAAATTAAGATACAGAAGAGAAATGAAAACAGTTTCAGTCAGTGTAATTACATAAAATGCAACAAGGACATTTAACCAGAAAAAGAGGCACTTACTGAAGGTGGTTTATTTTTCTTTAGTTGGATTAAACATCCAGCTTTTGATCTCAGCAATTACATTTTTTTGTTTGTTTTTGACATTCAACCTCCATTTAGAAAACTGTATCACAGGGGATCCAATTCATACATAAGACTACTTTTTAAGAATATATATTTACTGCATTCTTCATATACAACCACAAGAGATAAATAAATATGTAAAACTAAAAAACAAGGTTGCAGGAAGACTTGTTTTGCAGTAAAAAATAAAGTAAAATAAACGATGAATTACAGAGAGGCTATTTTAAGCAGGTAGAGCTTGTAGATAAATGCACAGCCTTACCAACAGGGGTGCTGGTGCCTGGTAGCTGCAGTCCTCTCTCCTGGCACATCAGCTGCATCTCTGTGAACACTGACAGAGCACCGTCGTAGTCACCTGAACAGAAGACAGAGGAGACATGCAGGCTCAAACTGCAGACAGTAACGTCCAATAATATACGTATGTATCAGCTACATATCAGCTGGAAATGGACAGACTGAACTCACGGGTGAGAATTTTACATGTGGCCATTTCTCCCATTGATAGCAGAGCTTCAATTGGCGTCTGTGTCTGCAACTCTGCAGCCCTCTGGTAATGAACAATAGCCTCTCCTGGTCTGTTCATCTCCTATTGACACCACAGAAGGAGTTAAGATGAACATAAAATGAATTGCAGTATATCAACTTTAAAAAAAATCAAAGCATTTTGTCTTCTAGGACAGTTTAAAGCTCTCATCCAAAGTTTTACCTTGAGTGCGTTGCCAAGTTCTAGACACAAACTGGCTGCCATCACAGGCTGGTTCATCTCAATGTACACCTGTAAGCCATTTTTGTACATGAGCGTTATTTTACTGCCTCTATAGGGATGAACAATGTACTCCATAATCTATTCTCTTAATCTTAATCTCTTAATATAACTCTTAATCTGTTTGTATAGTCTACAGGATACAAATATAACAAACTTCACATTAAATGTACTACTTTCATTCAAACCAGGAATCATAGTGTACCTTGATGGCAAAACTGTAGCAGTTGAGTGCCGCCTGTAGGTGCTCGTCAAAGCCCGGGGCCTGCAGCGCCCTGTTCTCCTTCTCAGATGAGAGGAAGAGGCGGGCAGCATCGGTTAACGCTAGAGCCTCTCCAGGAGCGTTAAAAAGAGTCTGCTCACACCTGCAGTCAAAGACATTCAGGATGTGTAACGACAACAGAGGCACCGTCCACAGTAAACATGTCATCACTGTGAATGATAGAGGCGCTCTCTGGGCTGATCACCAGCAGCTCCTCTGTCAGCCTGTGGTGGTTTATTGTGTGGGACACGAACAGCTAGAGAGGAGCCATCTCTCACCGGAGGGGATCTGACAAACTGGTTACTAAATATTTAACATGTACTATTCTGTTTAGACCAATCAGAATTTACTGAGTTAATGTACAGACAATGAAGTACATTGTTGATGCTTTAATGATTCTGAATATTTCTGAGCTCAGCAGGGTGATGCAAGTATTCCAAGTTCTGTCAAACTAATTTTAAACCTCTAATAGACAGGTTAGATTTAAAGCTCCCTTCCAAACATTCATTACAATATATTCAAATAGTCTGCTTGTCTCCTTCAACCTCATTAAAAATACAAGAATCTAAGGAATATGCACATTTTGTTCATTTCTAGTTCGAGTTTTCCTGTTGGACATAAGATGTCTCCTACTTCTCTGTAAAGTCCATTCTCAGTGTTTGTGCACTGGTGGCTTCAAGTTTCTACATCCCACTTATATATACATATATAAGTACATACGTTACATACTGGACATACTGTCACAGTTCATTCTGCACAGTGAAGGTCAAACATCTCAAGAAGAAAGGCATATTTTTGAGTAGAGGGGGCCACAGAATAATCACTACAATTTAGTTATCAAATGACAATCTGATGTGGTCAAACCACATTGTACAATCAGAACACTTTACCCCAGTAGAGCACACCATGCCCAATAAGGCTTTCATGTGAAGTTTCACCAAGTCTACATCTTTTCCATGTATTGTTCATGGTGAGGATGAAATCTATTGAGGCTCTGAGATGTGATTAACTTATCACAACTGGCCTTAACATGATTTTTTACTCCCCCGTAGTTACCTGTTAAGATAGGACTTTAAATAAACTACATGGCTGAAACTATGTGAACACATGAACATTACACTCATTTGTGATAGCTGAGAACCTCATTCCAAACTGGGAAAAAAACAGCGACATCTTGTCCAGCTAAAACATGTCTTTAAGGGCCTTTCTGTGCGTGAGGACAAACAGAAATGTCCCAAATAGTTACCACAAAGCAGAAAGCAGGCTGATAGCGATTATCAATATCACTGTATGTTGGAAGCTCAAACCATGAAAACAACTGCAGACGGACATAAAACTATGTGGCCACATACTTCTGGCCACAGAGTGTTTTGTATTGTGTGAGACACTGAGGTGGTTCAGGTCAGTCTGCTGCATTGTCCACTCACCGAGCCATGGCCAGGTTACAGAAGGCAGCATACTGAAGGCAGTCCTGCTGCTTCAGCTCCTTGGCTAACTGACCTGAAACACAATGAATGTGAGGCTGGATGACATATTCAGTATTTACTCCATAATATAGTTTAACAGTGTACATGTAGCGTTAGGTTACAAGGGTTGTGGTAAAGACTGACACTCACCAAACTGCTCACTCGCCTCCGCAACATTTGGCTTCCGGAGAAAACGCCTGAAACAAAGAAACACGATTTTCTAAAATATCGAAATTAGCCAGCTGACTGTTAGTGACCTGATGGTGTGAATATCTCAGTGTGTCATTCACTAGCCACTGTGGCTAAAATAAGCTACAGTCAGATTCACTTTACCGTCGGCTGTCGAACAACGCATCACTTTTCATTAAGCTCAACTAAACACTTAAAACCTACTGACCTGATATCTGCATTAACAACTACCTTACAGTCACACAAAGGAAGGTTAAATAACGTCATGTGACACTGACAGTGAGCTAACAGTTAGCTGAACACGGCTCATTAGTGCTAGCTGTAAACATCTGCAGCATTATCACCGTTAATCTTAATGTTCAGTCCTCTTTCTGTTGGAACTAGTGTTCACTTGAAGCCTTACTTTTTCAGTTTATTTGACACAGCTCGATATCTCGCCAGAAAATCGCCCTCTGCAGCCATGATCAATGATCAATGATCGAACAAACACAACAAACCAAACCAGGAAGTCCAACTGACAGGAGCACTGTCATTGGTCGGCGCACGTAAAAGGGGCGGCGCTTATTCGGTTATAATATATATAATATATATAATTTATATATATAATATATAAATGCCTAAATAAGGAGAAATGTTGTAGAAATACAGAAATAATGTGTGTGAAGACAGAAATCAGACTGAGACAAGGACAGATGGCAGGAACAGGTTTATTATTTTTATTTCTACTGTTGGTAACAGCCAGAGGTGGGAAGTGACAAAGTAGATTTACTCAAGTTAAAAGACTGGACTTAAATACAATTCTGTGGTACTTCTGCTATCAGTGGGAAATATTAATACAGTGTAATTTTGTATCTTCTACATTTTACTCTACATTTATTTAGCATTTGGCAGCTATAGTTTGTAGTTATTTGCAAATTCACATGATATAATGCATTGTATACAGTAAATAAAACAGTCACAAGTCTTTAAATGTTGGTTACATGTGTATGCATTCGTAAAAATAATCCAACAGTATAATAAATTATATGGTAACACTGACAGAGGGCTTGTTGTCTGCAGCGAGTGCATTTAATTGACAATACATTTGTATTTTACTTCATACATTTACATGCAATTAAGTTGTACTGTGTTGTTTACGTTGTGTTTTTGTTACTTTTACTTTTTTTACTTTTTTAAAGAATCCCCATTACAAAATACTTCAAATACTCAGATGACACAGCCGAATCAGTTACAGCATATCACCAATCCATTGCCCACTTCACCCAATGGTGTAAAGACAGTCACCTTCTCCTCAACGTCACCAAGACA